GCCTGTTTTGTGGGCGGGGTCTAAGCTGGGTGTGCGCTCGGTGGGAGGGGCCTATGGGCGGGCGGGCGTTCGGTGGGCGGGGTCTTCTGGGCGGGGAGTTTTCTGTGGGCGGGGTCTCAGGCAGCCTGTGCTGTCTATTTCGTAGGCTTCCTCCTTATTATGGGCGGGGTCAGAGCCTGAGGGAGAGACCAGAACCTGGGGATGGAGTTTAGGCATGGGGACCGGACAGCGGCAGAGGTGGGGGGGTGTCTAGGCCTTGGGGAGATATGGGAGCCTGTGGGCGGGGACAAAGCCTGTGATTAGGGTCAGGCCTCTGGGCAGTGTGCGCTGTAAGCAAGGTAGTCTGGGGATGGTCAGCATGTGCACCCCTTGGAGGGATGCTTAGGCAGTGCTCTCTTCTTGGCTGTCAGCCTCTCTTGGTGCCCTCCTTGCCCCAGCAGATTCACCTCAGCGTGACCAAGGAAACCAAGACGTGGTTTGCTGACCGGGCCCTTTTCCTAGGAACCTGTTTCAAGAATCCTCTTTCCTGGAAGTCTAACAGTTTTCCTTGTCGGGCCTTGGAAATGCCCACCATCATGCCCCCACACTCTCCAGAAAGGCCTTCGTGCCAGAAGTAGCTTTGCTTTTACGAGGTGGGACGGGGACAGGGTAACAAGAATGGTACACCAGGCTTCAGAGGTGCCCACGTGAACCTATTGTGCCCCAATGACGGGCCAGGACCCCACTCTGCCTTCCTCACGCCAGGAAACCAGCTGAGGATGGAGAGCAAGCAGAGCAGGCCATGGCAGATCCCAAATGCCTGGAGCCCACAGAAGTGTCTCTTCCTCCCAAGTGAGTCCCCAGGGGGGACTCAAACTGTTCAGGACTCCTCAGTCAGCCCTCTCATTCTGTGAGCCAAAAACAGGAGCAGAGTCCAGTCTGTGCAAACAGCCCAGGTCTGCCTGACCAAACCCCAGTGTTCACTTCTTCACTCAGATTCCAAAGCACCCAGACTCAAGCCAGAGCTTTGGCAACCTGTCAGTGCTGGCCCCTGCCCCTGTGGAGAGTGAAGGTGTTGCTGGGACACCAGTGTCCAGTGTTTATTCATCATCTGCAAGCAAAGAGGACAGGACGCCCTTGGCTGGGCATGGAGGCCAGCAGGTGGCTATTTGAGCAACATTCTCATGGTGCTCAGGGACGGGCTGCGGTACTCCCGTCCAAAGTGGTTCCAGTGGTTGAGATAGTTGAACAGCTGATACAGCTGCATCCGCCTGTCGAAACCAGGGGCCTTTGGGATCTTGCGATGGTAGGCAGTGAAGAAGGCTCTGGGGAACCCCCCGAACATCAAGGCAATGGCCAGTTCAAACTCAGAGTGTCCATAGAAGGAGGCCGGGTCATAAATGACAGGTCCTGTCTCGTCCTCAGCCACGTTTCCCGACCACAGGTCCCCATGGAGCAGGGCAGGGACGATCTGCAAGCCACAGAACAACTCCGGGATCTTTACCTAGGATACCATCATGCGCAAGGAATTATCGTGGGCCTCAGGCCAAGGTCACAGTCCACACAACCAGGAACAAAGTTCCCTGAGTCAGGACCTCCTCTAGAGGGGTGTGAACTTCTCACTTAGTATTGGATATTAATTCTGGTTCACTCTACGATGCGGCCATGGTTAATGTAAGAAACCTTGGCAGGGTAGTGACTACTTGTACTAGCGGAAAGGTCAGCGGTTCGAAGCCACCAGCTGCTTCAAAGGAGAAAAACGGGCAGTGTCCTCACATGACTACTTACAGCCCCAGAGCCCAAATAGAAGGTCTTCATGAATCGGACCAGCTGGAGGGCAGCAGGCAAAGTGCAACATGGCAAGAGAAACCAGGTTCTGAAGACATTGCCCAGAGAAGCAAGAAGGCTGGATCTGGTTGGCCTGGAGTGCACGGACAAACGTGGTACCTAGCACTGCCTCTTCTGCTCTGTCATTTCACTGCCCACTCCACTAATCAATTACACAAAATCCCTCTGTGCTCAGAGGACAATGACATTAATCACTCCAGGGCACTCGCTGTCCATAGCATGGGGAACAGTGGAGACATGGCAGAGGAGCAGGAATGGGGAGGCAGGGCAAATGCTTGTAACAGGCTGTAATGACGGCTACCTTTCAGGACCTGGAGCTGTCACTGGCTTACATCCAGTTCACATACAGGAGGCTTGTTGGCACAGTATTACCTGTTGGTACACTAACCGAAACGTCAGTGGTTCAAATCCTCAAAGGGAAAATGGATAGTCTCCTCCCAGTAAAATCCACAGCCTCAAAAGCCAATGAAGGGCTGTCATGAGTCACAAAAGACTCAGCAGTTGTGAGTTTGGTGTTTTGTTTGGGTTTTTATTTTACATAAAGAAACTGAAAAGTTAGGGGTTTAAGTCACCCAGAGGCACCTCACAAGAAAGCCGTGGCTTGAGGGCCCTGCAGGTCGCAGCTCTCAACACACGTGGGGTTCTGTGCATTGGCCTCAACTTGATGGCATCTGGTTTTCACTTGTTTGTTTCTTTTTTTTTTTTTTATTTTATTTTATTTTTGTGTGCGTGTACCGTCAAATCAGATCTGACTGGTACAGGAGGAGATTGTCCCTCCTTCCCTGGCAAAGCATCTGGTGGATTCGAACTGTGCACCTCTGGGATTGTAGTTGCAGCTTCTTGCCACTAGGCCACCAGAGCTCCCCTACTTGTTTGTTTCTTAATGTTATATAAGGAAAGAGAATGGATCACCTGATGGCTTACAGGTAAGAGGTACATCAGCAGTCCTTCACACCCCTCCATCCCCATCAGGCCAATACTTGGAGCCCAAGCATGCCCCTGGCATTGCCAGCTCTGCCTCAAGCCCACTCTGCCCTGCTCTGGTGGCTGCAGTCGCCCAGAGGGCTCCACACGAATGTGGTGGGCTGGTGAGAATCCCACCCCTTCTCCCAGGAAGGCAGCCCCACCTGCAGCCGCGACCAGAGCTCCCGTGCCTCTCGGTCAGCATAGTCCTTCTCAATGAGGTCTAGCTGCGCTTGGAGCCGGTGCCGGCTGAAGAAGGTCGGCCAGTCATCCAGCCACTCATTTACCTGGGAAGCAAAGAAAAGAGATACACTCCCACTGACAGCCAGGACAAGCACCTGGCAGACACATGAACTGTCTACACCCTACAGGGTGACTGTGAGAACGTAGTGAGTGCGTCCAGCCAATAGTCACAAAGGAAAGATCTACAGAAATACCCACAAAGTCTAGGGGACGGCAGGTCAGAAAGAGGCAACAAAGATAAAGGTCATTAGCCGTTGAGTTGAAGCCGACTCACAGCTGACCCTTCAGACGCTCGAAATCACACTGGAGGAGACTGCCCATCTTCTCCTTTGTAGCAGCTGGTGGATTCAAACCACCTACCTGTGGGCTGGCAGCATAGCTCCTTACCAATAGGCCACCTGAGCTCCCAAAGATAAAAAAAGATCAATAAGAAACAAATAGCAAGACAACAGACTTAACCTATATAACCTAGTCATGTTGCAGCAAGAGAAAGTCCATGGTAAGTGCACTTTCAATATTAAAGACAAGACCCAAAGGGGGGGGGGTGGAAAGGAGAAGAAAGACTCAATAGCTCATTAGAAACCAATGAAAGATAAAAAGCAATGGGGGGAGGAAGAAAGCTGGGTTTTTGAAAAGGGGAGTAAAACTGATAACTCCTAGCCAAACTGCTCAGGAATCCAACAGGAAGACGCATCACCAATACCAGGAGAGGACGTTCACTGCCGTCACTACAGGCAGCACGTATTAAGAGGATGGTAAGGAAAGACGGGAACATACTTGTGCTGATACATTCAACAATGGAAATCAGATTGACAGATTGCTTGAAAAGCACAAGTTACCAAGGCTCAGCCAAAAAGAAACGGCATGAACATCCCTGTAACTAATAAAGAAATTGAGTATGCTAAAAGCCCTCCCACAAAGAACCCCCAGACCCAGATGACCACTTTATAATTCCCTGGTAAATTACAACAAACATCCAAAGAAAAAATTAAAACTCCAGCTTCATACAAGTTCTTCCATGAAGAGAGCATACATCCCTGCTTGTTCTGTGAGGTCAGCATGATTCTTAGTCAAACCCAAAGACTTACCAAAAAAGACAGATACAGGCAAATAGGCTCCAAGTACAAATGCTCAGAAGATTCAAACAAAATGTCAGCAAACAGGAAAAAAAGATCTAAAAGGACATGAAGACAGTATTTCTACATGACCAACCACAGTTGGTTTAATAAAAAACAATCAGATATAATTCACCATGTCAACAAACTGAAAGGAAAAAAACATATGCTCATCTCAATAGAAGAAAAAGCATATGACAATATCCAATATTCAGTCCCAACAAAAACTCTTAGGAAATGAGAACTAGAAGGGAAATTCATCACCCTGTAAAGAAATCTAAGAAACACCTACAGCTCACGTGGGATGATGCTCCCCTTTGCTGCTACTCCAAAGTCAGTGCTTCTCCAACAGTTCAAAACCACCAGCAGTTACACAGAAGACAGGCAATCTCCTCCCTCACCTTGTGCAGCCTCTGAAGCTCGCTGGAGGGTGAGCTGTAAGTTGGTGCTGACTCAAAAGATGATGATGATGATGATGATGATAAAAGGAGAGCGATTCCATATTCACAGAGGAAAAGTCTCAATATTCTTGTCTGTTCCATTCTTCCCAAATTGAACTACTGATTTCATTCCCTTCCAAACAATCCCAGCAGGCTTTTTCCCTTCAGAAACTAAAATACTAATTCTAAATTTCACACAGTAAAGGGTTTAGAATAGCTAAAACAGCTCTGAATGCCCTTCCCACTACTGCTGCAAAGACGCTGGGTTCTTCCAAAGAAACTAAGGCCATGTCTGGATTAGACCCGGCTTCATTCAGAGACTGGCCCTGCTCAGGACAGTCCAGCACCCTCACACCACGGCCACCATCTGCCCTTTCATCCTGCATGATGGTGGGGTCATTGATACAGGGAACGGGGTTAATGCCCTCATTAAAATAGCCACTGTAAAGATTGAGCCTTTCTGCCCTGGCCTGTTTGCAAAGGCCATGGCCAGTGTCCACTCCGGTGGTGGGGTTACAGCAGGACTGGCCTGTCCACCACCACTGCTTTCTCACCTGTGGAAAGGGACATGGAGGCAGAGGAGGAAGAGTGTGGTGTCCAAAGATGATGTGGGCTTCGTTTTTTCAACTAAACTCCTTTGGAACATGTTCAGAGCTGAATGGACTCTTAAAAAGTGAAAAGACATTCAAGGCAGATAATAAGGTTAGAGGGTTCACATCCTGATTTCTACACGTGATGCATAGTTGAGAAGGTGTGATAGTGCCGTAAAGGAAACGAGAAGATCACTGGACTGAGTCCAGGAACCTGCCCCACAGGAGAACTGGACAACTGCTTCTCACCATAGGCAGTTCCATGGGGAAAGGAGGGCCTTTCACCTGTTGCTATAGGGACAATTGGAAACCACAGGTGTAAATGGGCCCTGAAGCCATGCCTTAAAGATTAACTTAGTCTGAAATATATATATAAATTAGTCATAAACCAAAGTGAGATCTCTGGAAGTAAATGGGAGAAAATCATTGTGGCCTTGAGCTAGGCTAAGGTATCTTTGATGCAATGCCAAAACAGAACTCATAAAATAAATATCCATAAATTAAGCCCATAAAAAGAGGAGAAAACACAAAAACTGCATACAAGAAAACACTTGCAAATTATAAGCTAATAAAAGACCTGCATGTTTCTATAAATCACTTTCCAAACTCAGTAACAAGAAAACAAACTGCCCATGCTCCAAACAGCAACTGAATTGAACACGTCACCAAAGAGAAATAGCAAAATAAGCCATGGGAAAGCTGTCTTACATTACTAGTCACAAGGGAGCTGAAGTGAGCAATCTCTGCACAAGGACGTCCATCAGCACGGCTGAAATGAAAACCTGCTGTTGTGGGAACCAGCCCTCACACAGCTGGTGGGAGTGGGTGGAGGCCAGTGCAGCTGCCTTGCAAGGCTGTGGCAGCTACTTAAAAAATGAAATAGACTATTCAATATTGTATTGGAAGTTTTAGCGATAGCAATAAGAGAAGGAAATAAGAAGTATTCACATTGGCAAAGAGAAAGTAAAATTGTCTCTATATGAAGATGATATGATAGTATACTTAAAAAACCCTAAAGACTCAGCAAGAAAACTACTAGACATCGTTGGCCAATTCACCATAGAGGCAGGATACAAGATCAACATACAAAAATCAATTGGATTTCTTTACAGTGACAGAGAATACAATGCTACACTTCACAATAGCTAATCACAAGATTAAATACTTGAGAGTAAATCTAACAAAGACAGAAGAAACAAAAAAGACCTGGCAAATGGAAGAATATATCTTGCTCATCAATAGGAAGACTCAATATTGTGAAAATGACAATTCTACCAAAGGCAATTTACACGTTCAACTCAATTACAATACAAATACCAATTCCATTCTTCAATGAGATGGAAAAAGCAATCTCCAATTTAATTTGGAATTGAAAGAGCCCTTGAGTAAGCAAAGCACTCTTTAAAAAGAGAAACAAGGTAGAAGGCATCTCACTCCCTGATTTCAAATCCTACTACACTGCCATGGTGTTTAAACAGCATGGTACTGGTACAATGACAGACACATAGATCAATGTAATAGAATTGAGAATCCGGAAATAAGCCCATCTACATATGGTCAACGATTTTTGACAAGGAGATTAAATCAATTAAGAAGGGAAACTACAGCCTTTTTAACAACTAGTATTAGCAAACTGGGAAAATATCTGTAAAAAAAAGCAAGATCTACACCTCACTCCAAACACAAAAACCAACTCAAAGTGGATCATGGACCTAGGACTAAAACCAAGGACTATAAACTTCATGAGAAAAAAGCTTGGAAGAACTCTAGAAGCCCTAATCCATAACATAAACAGTCTTCCAAGCATCCTGATAAACCTACAACCAGGAGAGGATAAAATAGAGAATAGAACCTTCTAAGAATAAAATCTCTATGCATATCCACAAACTTCTCCAACAGGGTAAAAAAGGGAAGCCACAGACTGGGGAAAAATATTTGACAATGACATGTCTGAAAAGAGATTTAAACTTAGAATTTATAAAATACTCAAGCACCACAACAAGATAAAGGTAAACAACCCAATTGAAAAATGGGCACAGTATATTAACAGATACTTCACCAAAGAAGATATTCAGATGGCTAACAAGCACGTGAAGAAGTGTTCAAAATCCCTAGCTCTGAGAGAGATGCAAATCAAAACAATTATGAGATATCATCTCACCCCAGTAACAAAATTTAACAGAACAGCAAACAACAAATGCTGGTAAGGTTGTGGAGAAACTGGGATCCTTATTCACTGTTGGTGGAAGTGTAAAATGGTACAACCACTATGGAAGGCAGTATAGCACTTTCTCAAAAAGTTGGAAATAGAAATACCATTTGACCCAGCAATTCCCCTACTGGGAATATACCCTAAAGAAACCAGAACTGCACACCCATGTATATTGAGGCTTTGTTTATAATAGTAAAGAGTTGGAAACAACCCAAGTGCCCATCAACAAATGAATAGAGAAGCTTTGGTATATTCACACAATGGAATACTATGCAGCATTAAAAAACAAGGAATTTATGAAATATTTTACAAAATTGGTGACCCTGGAGGACATTATGCTGAGTGAAATATCTCCATCACAAAAGGACAAATACTGCATAGTGCCACTGTTGTAAAGCGGAACTGACATCGGAGTTGAGGGAAAAGTAAGAAAAGAGGGGATAAATAATATAATTGAAACAGATGAGGGAGAGAACTGTTTAGGAGAATATATGATTAGCTATTATTGTCATGACAAGAGTCCAGAATGAAAGCTGCATAGTGGATTTGACTGGGGAGGATGGGGGATTGTATAACAATGAAATAATTTTTTTAACTTTTCAAAGAGAAAAGCGAACTGGGGGAGGGGTGGGCATGGAGGAAAGTATGCAACAATAAATGAATGGAAATTCAAAGTCTCTGTAAACTTTCATTAAAATAAAAAAATTCTAAGAAAAAAATTAAATAGACCCTCACCATCTTGTGCCGTCACCCTTCCTTGAGGTTTACCCAAGAGAAATGAAAGCATTGACACCAAGGCTTGGGCACGAGTGTTCAAAGCAGCTATTGTGCCAAAGCAAAGGCCGGCCCCAGGCATCCCTGGCCAGGTGAGAGGTCACAGGCAGAGGCTTGCCACACAAGGGATTGGACTTCTGGCCGGTCAGCCATGCTGAGTAGATGAACAGTACGTGCTATGCCATTCCATTTACCTAGGGCCCAGAAAATGCAAGCTAGCCTATATGTAAAAGTCTCTGCAGTTCCACCAGATGCTCCACTGGAGAAGGAGGGGCAGTGTCCTTCTAAGCCAGTTGGATCCAATTTGATGGTACATAACAAGGGAAACAAACTAACAAACCAACCAACCAAAAGAGAGTCTCTGCTGTGTTTCTGAACCAAGAGCTGCTCCTTCCTCCTGTGGTTTCCAAGCCTGTGAACCACACAGGAGAGACCCATCTTTCTCCCTCGGAGCTACTGGTGGGTGCAAACTGCCAGGACGTACCACCCTTGGGATAGCAGCAGAACCCTAGAGCTCTCTACACTAACCTGCAGTAAAGTTGCCTCAGCATTTAAAGACAGAGTAGCCCCAGGAGACCACAGGGCATCCTCTCACACACACTTCACTAGTGAGGTCTCCACTGGTGGTGCCTGCACGCACCTAGCCATCCAGAAAAGGTAACCTCTACACAGCCCCACTTCTCCACAAAACCCCGCACCTGCTCCTCCTGATGGCTGGCAGGTTGCCCAGAGTGAGGCAGAACCAGGCATCCAGGCCTGATGACCTTCCTAGACCTGGTTTGGCTATCAGAGAACCCCACCCCCCTCAAAGCCATGCAGGGCTCCTGCAGTCTCCCATTCTCCGGGCTCCCCTCTGCTGGCACCCCCTCATCACACTCCTTCCTGCACTGAAGCCAGTGCGCCTGGACCCCCTACTCCCCAGGCTCCCAGCTCAGACATCACAGCACACTCCAGGCTTTCAGAAAGCAAGCAACCTGCTTGTTCTGGGCGACTGCCATTTGGCCACATTGAAGGAGTGCATGTCCAGCCCAGTAGCAACATCCCAGCCGGGCCTCCCATACCTGTGGTATGAAGCCGCAGCAGGTGACTGTGTGGAAGCCAAACTTGGTCACGTGCTGGAACTCGGCACCACCAGCCCTCCGACCTGCGGGCAGATATCCCTGGTCTGAGAGCTGCACGGCCTTTTTGTCCAGTGCCAGGCTACAGAAGTGGCAGTAGGGACAAGGGTAGCACTTGCTAAAATGGCAGGGTTGGGCATAAGGGGCCATGCATTAATTCTCTGAGCTCATCCTAGCTTATCAGCCTCAGAAAGATCCTCCTCTAAGAATCCAGTTCTCGGGCCATCAATGGCTCAGTGACTTCTGTGGCAGGGACACTAAGGCTGGGTGCCACTTGACCATACCCACTGTGCCTTCTTCCTTCTTCAGCTTCTCCCCAAGCTGCTGATTGTACAGATGCAAATCCGCCATCTGTTCCCCAAGCTTTGCTGCTTGACTGAGGAGAGAAAAAAACGCAGCCAGGTTAATAGTAACAATTGTTTAAAGTTCCTTTTAGAGAATTGTTCCAAGGCCTCTTTAAAAAAGTTATTGCTGTTAGGTGCCATCAGATCACTTCCAACTCTGAGTGACCCTGGGCACAACAGCACAAATCCCTGCCCCGTCCTGTACCACCCGCACAATCGCGGCTGCTCCTGGGCCTTGCCACAGTGCTGTGTTAATCCATTCCCCCAGGGCCATCTGCTTTCACTGACCCTCCACTTTACCAAGCAGGATGTCCATCAGAGAACACACACCTAAAGCACGTGAGGGGAAGCCCTGCATCTTAAACAAGCTACTTTGGCTGTGCTTCTAAGACAGAGCTGTTCTGCTGGCTCTGCAAGGAAGAGGCGGCTTTCTTGGTGAGCACCACCTGACAAAGGCTGCCAGTCGTCCGCACTCACCGTCCAGCTTTAACATGGGAGGCTCAGGTGCAGTGCAGTCCCCAAAGTGGTCCATTTGCTTGCTCACACGTTGAAGAGGTCGTCTGCAGCGCATATGCCAAATGCCATGTGCTATTTGGTTTCTAGAATGCTACTTTCATGGGGATTGATGGTGGGTCCACCTAAGATGCCATGCTCAATATCTTTCATTTTCTCTCCATTTTACGATGTTGCCTGTGAGTACAGTTGTGAAGAGGTTTTGTTTCCTTGATGTTAAGGTTACATCCAGATTGAATTGCATTAAGTCACCCTTGCTTTCAGCAAACTGTCACCGTCTTACCACAAATTGTTAGAGTCTTCTTCCAATCATGGAACCAAGTTCTGTTAAACTCCAACTTCTTGGATGATTGCTCAGCATACAGATGGAAGAGAAAGTGAAGGGTGAGGTATAGGAGTGAAATGCTTGCATCCCGTGAGGGGTGACTCCAGTCCAACTGGTGGGCAATGCAATTCACACTGTGCCAGGACCAGCCAGGAAAGCCTAGGATTGTCCCTGTGGTTGAAAACTCTGCAGGTCTGATCTTACTATACGTGGTGGCCGTGAGCCAGGCTGACCACAAGCAACAACGCTAGGAGAGAGCCTGGAGGTGTCCCTTCACCTAGTGAGCGTGTGAGTGGTCTCACTAAGCATGGGAGTGGTCCCAGTGAATGTGTGAGGAGTCTCACTCAGTGAGTGTGGGAATGGTTCCAGTGAGTGTGTGACTGAAAGATTTCACTCAGTGAGTCGGTGAATGGTTGGTTGGTTCCTCCTTTACTCGCCTTATGCCAGTGTCTGGGGTCCCAAAGATAAAATCTAACACTACTCTCTGTTTTTTAAAGATGAACTCTAGGTTACAACTCCACCAAAAGAAAACATAACTAAAATCATTAAGCAGGAGGAGGCTGATGGTCTTCAGCAGAGCCAGGGAGAGTGGTCGGCAGGATCAGGGATGGTGGTCAGAGTCAAGGGAAGAATAAGCAAAGAGTGAAAACTAAGGTACGAACTTTTGTGACAAAAACAGCGCGTGGGACAGAGAGGAAAAGCTCAGCCCAGTGTCCACGGACCCAGCTGAGTGTGGCCCCATCCTACGCATGGAGTCATGGGGCCCAGACTATAGAGAAGCTATGGTTCCCACATGTTAGAAAGCACATTTCAGTAGGACTCCACATACTTAGCAGGCCTGTCTAGAGGAAGCAGCGAGCCGAGTGTGGAGCCAATGATGGATTCAATATGCTCATTATGCAGCCTCCTGGAAACCAAAACAAACCCACACGGCATGATAACAGCAGTAATGGTGGTCCCCACGGAGGACACAGGCCTGGCCTTGACCCTCGTGCACGCTCATCTTCACTCTCTCCTCTACCTTTTCCTATGTCTTCACCTCTCACCCATATATGCACACACACTCAAATATCTGCACACACATATACATACAAGTGCCTACAAGTGTGTGTTTACCTATGCCTGTCCACACATATGCACCATGTGCCAGTGTGTGTATACATGCCAGCACACACGCTTGTGCACACATGTGCTTATATGTATCCAGGTGCAAATGTGTGTACCTATGCAGAAGTGAACATATGTACCCATGTGCCTGTGTATACATGCCCCTGTGTGCATGTGTAGGCTCATGTGTCCACATATATACCCATGTGTCCATGTGTGTGCATATGCCTGCGTGTATCTCTGTCCACATATGCATATACCTATGAATACCTGTGTGCATGGGTGTGTGCGTACATATGCCTACATTTACCCATATGTGTTAGCAGCTGATGAATCTGGAATCACAGAAACCAAGGAAGCTTTAGATATAAGCTATCAGATCAAGGGTTAGACAATGGGAGATAGATGTTGAAGGGAGTGGGTAGAAGTGGAGGGGTATCTTGATGGATGGTGGAGCAAAGAAATAAATAGGTCAGGACACTTGTGCCAAGGGCAAGGACAACACCAAAACTAATGGTTAATTCCACAAAGAGGGATATATTTTCACTTTTTCTGTAAAATGTTTATATGTTGGATACTTCTCTAAATCTGAACATTCAGATTAAGATGCACTAGGAAGAAGGACTGGCCATCCACTTCCAAAGTAGCAGGCCTCTGAAAACCTTATGTACAACAGAACACACACAGAATGACAAAAAGGGCAACTGAATATGGAAATGCAAAAGAAGAGGAACAGTTGTAAGCAGACACTAGTGACTGGAACATGGAATGTGAGAACCATGAATGTAGGAAAATTAGATATTGTTAATAGGGAAATGGGACGCATAAATATTGACATACTAGGCATTGGTGAGATGAGATGGACCGGCATGGGGCATTTTGAATCGGATGATCAATGATATACTAGTCCGGAGATAAAAAGGTGAGGAAAAATGGGGTTGCTTTCATAGTTAGAAAAGCCATTTCTAGATCCGTCTTGAAGTACAATATTGTGAGTGACAGGATAATATCCATATGCATACAAGGAAGTCCAGTGAATACCACTATCATTCAGATATATGCACCAACAACCAGAGCCAAGGAAGAGGAAATAGAAGATTTCTACCAACTTTTACAGTCGGAGATCGATCGAACATACAATCAAGATGCACTGATAATAATGGGTGACTGAAAAGTAAAAGTTGGGAATAGAAAAGAAGAATCAGTAGTCGAGGGGAGCTCTGGTGGCCTAGTGGCAAGGAGCTGCAACTACAATCCCAGAGGCACATGGTTTGAATCCACCAGATGCTCTGCCGAGGAAGGAGGGACAATCTCCTCCTGTACCAGTCAGATCTGATTTGATGGTACACTCACACAAAAAAATAATAAAATTTAAAAAAAAAGAATCAGCAGTGAAAAACATGGACTCGGAGGCAGAAATGGAGCTGGAGGTAGAATGATTGAATTTTGCACAATCAATGACTTATTCATCACAAACACATTTTTAAGAGATATAAACACAGGTTATACACATGGATCTCACCTGATGCTATGCATAAGAATCAGATCGATTACATCTGTAGAAGGAACTGCTGGAGAAGCTCATTATCCGCTGTGAGAACTAGGCCGGGAGCTGACTGTGGAACAGACCACCAACTACTCATATGCAAGTTCAAGCTGAAGCTGAGGAAAATGAAACCAAATCCATAGGAACCAAAATATAACTTTGAGTCTATCCCACCTGAATTTCAGAACCATCTCAAGAATAGGTTTGAGGCCTTGAACACGAATGAGCGAAGACCACATGAGTTGTGGGAGGTATCATCCAAGAAGAGTGCAAATGTTCATTACAAAGACAAAAGAGGAAGAAAAGACCAAAATGGATGTCAGAAGAAACTCTGATTATTGCACTGGAGCGCAGAGAGGCACAAGGAAGAATTCAAGATACTAAAGAGATTAACAGAAGATTCCAAAAGGCAGCGCGGGATGACAAAGTAAAATATTACAATGAAATGTGCAAGGAGCTGGAGTCAGAAAACCAAAAGGGTCGAACTCGCTCAGCAATTCTTAAGCTCAAGGAACTGAAGAACAAATTCAAACCTCGAGTTGCTATAATCAAGGACGCTTTAGGCAGAGTATTAAATGATCCAGGAGGTATCAAAAGAAGATGGAAAGAATACACTGAGTCATTGTATCAAAAGGAACACAGAAGAATTTAATTAAACAACATATGAGCAAGAGCCTATGGTGATGAGGAAGAAGTTCACTCTGCTTTGAAGGAAATAGCAAAAAATAAGCCCCCAGGAATAGATGATACACCAATTGACATATTTCAGCTAACAGATGCTGCCCTGGACGTGCTCACGAAATTGTGTCATGAAATCTGGAGAACAACCACTTGGCCAACTGACTGGAAGAGATCTATATTTGTTCCCATTCCAACGAAAGGTGACCCAACAGAGTGTGGAAACTATAGAACAATATTGTTGATTTCACATGCAAACAAGATTCTGCTGAAGATTATCCAAAAACGACTGGAACAGCACATCAGCAGAGAACTGCCAGAAGGCCAGGCTGGGTTTAGAAGGGGTCATGGTATAGGGAATATTGTAGCTAATGTTAGATGGATCTTGGCTGAAATCAGGGAGTACCAGAGGAATGTCTATCTGTGCTTCATTGATTATGCAAAGGCGTTTGACTGTGTGGACCATAACAAACTGTGGCTGACTCTGAGAAGAATGGGAATCCCAGAACACTTGATCGTGCTAATGCGAAACTTATACTTGAACCAAGAGGCTGTTGTCAGAA